AATAAGATAAAAAATTGAAAGAACAACAAACAAATAAGTACATTTGGGGTATTTTTATCAGGTATATGGAAAGTTCCCCTTAGAAAGAAATTAAGACCTTAAAGGGCAATTCATAAAATAATGGATAGATATGCGCAATCATTTTAAATATATGGTTTATTGGGGTGTGACTTTTAGTTTTCTTAAAAGTTCATAGGTACTTTGGGATTTATATATAGGTAACATTGGTAGATGAAAATTGGACTACATTTAGTAAAAAAAAAAACAAATCAACAAATACACTTTAAAAAAGTATTTTGAGCACTCCTTTAAAAGTAAAATACAAAATATTTAAAAGATGAAAAGTTTAAATGAAAAAGAACGGGGGTTTTATCCTCAATTAATAAATTTACGGGATCAAAAAGTATTAGGAGTAATGTGATTTTATAGACTGGCTTCTTCTGTCACCTGGTTTTAAAGGCTTTCAAACTTCGACTCTCTGTCAATTTTGTCAATTTTCATGATCCTATTAGAAGTAAATGAATAAAGAAATGCCATCAAGAAGTAATCCCTAAACAGTGTAAAATATTGTCTAAATTGTGATATATCTTCTTATTTAAATAAGTGTAAAATTATTCTTGAATATTATAAAAATAACACAAATGTAAGATAATTGAAAATATTACAAGATTGTACGAAAGTTTGAAAGCTTTTTTGCATGTTAGAGGAAAACATTCTTTTGTATTTACTATAGTAAGAAGCTTATGCGAAATTGAAAAGGAAGCTTCAATTTATCCTAGAGCTTAGATAACAACGCAGCTCCTTTTTTGTAGATTTTTTATAACTTCATCATTCTTACTGGTAACTAAAAACTAGCTTAACCTTCCCTATTCTCCTATTTACTTGGGTATTTTGGTTTTGAAAATTATTTGCCCGAATGCATTTATTTTGGTGACTAATTTATTATTTCACCTTTTCTTTGCCTGTCAGACATGCATTTTCATAGTCAGTCCATCTTGAATATGGTCTCTTTGTCTTATTTATTGGGATGGGTCTTTCACTTCCCAAATCCTTATTCGCCATCGTGCTTAATCATCTATACCCAACGTCATTATTTTCAAAGTTTTTTTGCATGTCATTCCAAAAAAAGCTATGTTTATTATAATAGGTATTGCAATACTAATATTCTCAATATTTTTTCTCAGTTTCTCTTACCCTAGAGCCTATGTTTCAGATTCGTACTAGTTGAATTCTATCGTTTTCTTTTTTAAAGGAAAGTCTAAAAATAAAACAATTAAATAGTGCACGTTTAATGAGATGAATATAATTTTAAATCATTAATTAAGTTAATAAAGTTCTTTGAAAAGAATGATACCAACAGATATACACGTTTGTCCTTTTCAACACATCTCTAAGGTAATCTGTTCTTGTTTTATAAAACTAAGAGCGGAATTGTAGCTTTTTAATAATGTAAATAATAATCATAAATAATAAATGATTACCATTAAAATCCTCTTTTACTTTAGCATATTTCGTAGTTCACTATCACATTGCTTTAATAATACTGTATTTTAAAATCAAACTTAAAAAATTAGTTTTAAACCAATATAAAAATATAATTCTCAAAAACCTTTTTTAAAAATAATCATTGGTTCGCAAAAGTGATCCAAAAGGTTTTATTTCTAAAGAATTGCCTGTAAAAAAAGCATTGCGATTTAGGCCTATATTTATTAAGAATGGACATTTGTGAAACAATATTAAAGGATGACGTTGTGAAAAGAATATGATTTTAGACTAAGTATAAAATTTATGTTGTAAACCACAGGTTATAACGTGTTCAGTATTTTTCATATCTTAAATTAAACAACTCATAGTTTGCCGTTTGGTTAGGGTATACAGGGAGGATTTAGTCAGTGTATTAAGAGATGTACATAGCAGTAACAGAATACCTTGGATTGCAGAATACCTCAGCTACATTCCGAAGTGAATTCACGGAATAGAAAAAAAATATTAAACTCATTTCGAGAGGAAGCATCCAATGATTAAGAGTCCTTGGAGGATAACCATCTTAGATAATTTCAAACACCTGCTGAAGAATTTATTGTCATCGAAAAATATTTTTTCGAAAAACAAAGTTATAATAATTATTTAAATATCTAGGACACTGTGATATTAGACATTTTCTTTGCAGTGTTGAACTGTTTTCCATTGGAGTACATAGAAGCGGACGGCCATCTTGGATTTGCCCGCCTTAAGAGCAATGTTAATTTCTTCAATTTCAAAAAGCCACTTAAGAGTTATTTACAATCTCAAAATATTTTATCAAATACCAAGGGGACTGTAATTTGAATATCTAGTTCACTGTGAGATTAGAAATTTTCTTTGAATGTTTTAATTGTTTTATGAGTTTGAGCTCCAAGAACTCTTAACAACATAAATAATTTTAGTTTTGTAAATTAGTTAGCTTGACAAAAGGTGAAATGTGACAAAAATATAATTACATGGGAAAGAGCAATTTTGACCCTCGCTTATTTACAGATTAACTTAAAGTTGGTCCAATATCTAAAAAAATACAGGGTGTTTTTACGCAACCCAAATAATGAGTACAAAGTGTAAACATTTACGGACTAAACAAGCTTATAACCTGGCATATATTCTTCTTCTGCTTCATCAACAGCTGATAATACATTTTAGCATTGCAAGACGGATTAGTGATACTAGGAATTTGTTGTGAACTATTCAATATATTTTTTTCTCAAAAGTAAACCATTTTCAAGAGGGAATATTGTACATATGGCGAAAATTGGCGTTGCATAACTTAACTTAACAGTTGATACAACCTGTAGTTTATTTATTAGGTACTGCGGTCTCACATGAAAGCTTAATTGTAAAAATCTTGAAACGAACAATTGACTTTTAAATTATTCTTTTACAATATATACTCTTAAAAGTTATGAAAACACATTGTCGTTTCTTATTTACAATACAATCTCAATAATTGTAAACCGACAGAACAACAATGATAAATTATTGATAGCTAAAAAATGAATATCAGCTGATTAAAATTAAGTAAAGAAACATTGCCAAAATATGAGCTGGCCTTTCTATAGCTAGTGAATTGTTTACCTTGTATTTGGGTTTGGTTAAAACACCTTCTATCACATAAGTTTGACTAAAGTCATTAAATGAACTTAATAGAAGCATAACTTCTTAACGAACTCGTGCATATTTAAACCATAAGTATAAATATTCAACATTTTCTGAGAGTAAATTTGGTCCAAATGCTTGTAGTTTGTTTTCCAGCTTGTAATTCTACACTTCTTTGTTTTGGAGAATAAGATGTTAGTTTTCAACTCAAAGAAATACTATAAGTTGATTCACTTGGTTACAATATACCATTAAACTAAAATTTATGAAATCTATATGAAAGTTATATGAAATAAGGGTTGAAACATTTAACTACTATTTTTCATCCCAATTAAAACATTAGTAGGCCCTAGACTGAAATAACATAAGATGACAACCGGGTTACTACTTTATACTGTTGCACACTCTACCTTAAATTAAAAGTTTAACAAAATTTGGGCTTGACAATTTAAAACACAGGTAACGCATCTACTGTATGGCTTTAATTTAATTCCTAATGTCTTTAATTATTGAGTAATTATTTTTATAGACACAGAAAAAAAAACTATTTTTTTGGGAAATGTACAAATAAACCTTTTTGAAAAATAAGAAAATAATAAAACTGCCTAACGAAATAAAAACAAAGCTTGGGTGTAGTACTCTTACATTTGTTTATCACATCTGAAATATACCAAGCAATTTGTATGGAATTGTTTTCATCACTATATTCTAGGCTCAAATGGTTCTTTGACATGCAATGTTGTGTTAATGCTGAACATCATAAAATAGCACCATCGCAACAAGTCTAAAGTCAATTTCGATGCTTGTGGTACACCTACTGTTGATATATCGTGTGAGGACATGTTTTCATTAGATACACATTTATAATAAATTATAACATTTAATTGTGGAAATTACTTTATAAGGGGTTTCAATGTAGTCAAGCCATTTCTTTATACTTATTAGTAGGTAAAATATAGGTTAAATGTTAATAAGCCACACATAGCCAGAGTTTAAACATCTGTTATTTTTTTTTTAAATTTAAGCCTATTTAATATCAACTACCGTCTATTATTATATCATTAAAGTAAAGGTTTTGGAATCATTGAGATGGTAACTTTAAGAAACGTTATCCCCAATATGTTATTTAGTTTCTCTTTGTTATTGAAGTACCCTAATGTCAAAGTAATGATTGGTAACATTTTTAAAACAAGTACAAAAGTATTTTTGTTAGTATATCATTTACTAATATTAATATTGGAGAATTATGTATGGTTAAAAAAATTGACTCTAGGCATGATAGTAGTAACATCAGGCAAAAGTGCTGTTTGGATTATATTTAATTTTCGTTGTATATTTCAATACAAATATAACATACTGCCAGCAAATACAGCAATATTAAACTTGGTCTTAGTATTTGAATAACTATAAACAAAATGATATAAAATATCGTTTGAAAATAATGTTGCATTAAAAAAAAGAAAATTCCTGTAATATTGATCCACATTTATTTGCGTTACGTAAAATTTATGTTTTAATTATTTAATATGTTTCCGTTAGCAATTTTAAAAGCTGACAAAACTATAACACGATTAATAATTTAGTTATTATCTCTAAAAGTGTAAAAACAATTCCTTAAACAATCAATTGCAATAATTTATAGTTTTTTTAAATTTTGATCCATAACATAAGCTAACACGGATATTAAACTCAAATTAAATTTTCTAATTCAAAAGATAAATGATAACATTAAGTCCTAGGGATATCTAATAGTATTACAACAATAAGTGACAAATTCACCAAAACATATTAATAAGAATGCGTATAAGTAATTGTGAAAGTTTTATATGAAAATAAATAGAACCAATCACAACACATGTTATGGAATAACTAACCTTCGTCTAAAAGATTGATGGAGACATCAGCAGGAATACTTGGAATTGAAACCAGCAGCAGAATACTGATAATGGCTATCATTGGATCTGTAACAGAAGAATTGGAATAAATTATTAATCTACAAATACTTTCATAAGAAATAAATGCATAGTGAGTTTTTTTTTCTACTAGATTATCTTAACATAAGAACATTATTAAAAAAATATGAAATCATGTAAACAATATTGCTAGGTTTTGCAACAAACATCGTATTCCTATTTGAAAAATATATGTCATAGATATTTAAATAGGATGGATATAATATTCATGGAACAATATACGAGGTTAATATATTTTCCTAAAGAAACAGTCTACTTCTTGACCAAATACAGTAGAACATTTTAAAGGCAACACTTGAAAAGAGCCAATAGGAATTTTTTTTACTGGCCTTGGTTTGTAAAGTATGATTTTACAGGAAACTTTTAGAGACTTTTAAACTACCAACAGTAGAGATTACTGAGAAAAATACTTGACTCGATTCAACTACAAATGTACTTTTAAACATATAATCGTTTGACTTCCGTCCAAAACTTTACATTTGTTTTCAAGTGAGATTATTTTTTACCTCACTCTAAAACTTTAAACATGTTTTACACGTCAATTCTATTTTTAATACGGAATTTCTCATAATAATAAGCTAATACCGTAGGTTTCGTGGTAAGACCTAGACCCGAAACCGATTTGCTTAGTCTGTATGTTTGCTGCTGCGAGGGTATTTCGTATAAATCTTAACGGTGAAAATCCATAGGCTAACCTTGGTCCCTTTGGAAGTTAAATACATCTCAAATATTGTAGACGTCAATCTTTCATATATTTGAAAGAAACATTAATTCATACAAGTTATTTTAAGTAATTTTAAATTAATAAAAATAGTTTAGAAGATACGTATTAATATTATTTGTAATTTTTTATGATAAAAGTCGTGCTATTTTAACATTTTATTTTCTATGTCACGTACATATAACGAGATACAATACTAATGAAATACAATGTACAGTATAATGAAATACAATACATACAAATTAACGGTTTGGCCTGCACCTAAAACTGCATACTAGTTACATCTATACTACAGTATTATAAAATTGAGGTGGTGTCTGTCTGTCCGTCTGTGTGGCTGCCACGACTAAAATACTAAACCGATACAGCTATAAAATTAAGCACAAAGATGGTCCACATATCTAGGAATGTCAAAGGCCTATTCACTTCCCCGATTTCCTCTCATGCTACGCCCCTTGGGTATCCAAAGTTTTGAGGTGAGGGTTTCAAAAGTAAATATTAATAATTGGTCTCCATGGAAGCATGAGGAAATTCACAATCTTTCTTTACCTTTGCGTTGACATTTCAATATAAACAATCAGAATGCTCATTTCACAATTTACACAGCTGATCCAAACAAATAAATAAACTATTTTACACAACTATGGGGTAGGTTTATCTATTCTCAAACTTTGTTGTAATATTATGGAAATAAAGAAAGATTCTATAACCGTAAGTTATGAAAATTATGTTATTGATATATTTTTAATTAAACAGTAGTACAATTTCAATGCAGGTCATACCTTTTTGTATACATTTGGTGGATTGTTGTTTATGAATTCGAACTACTTAGCAAGTGTTTGGAGTAGGAGGTATAGCACATCTTGCCGATACAATAAATGTACGTATTTATTATATTTTGGTTGATAGTAACCATAGCAACGGCACGGCACGCACGACCCGTTATATTTCAACGACTGTGACGGAGCGCTACTAAACATCATGTTATAGGACCAATGTAGTATACACTGACTGATTAATAACTTTGATATACGCAATTTTCATAAACTGCTATGAAACCAATGTTCCAACCAATGTTTTCATGGGGTCTCGATTTTTCAGAGTGTAAAGTATTGCTAACGAAAATACCTTTTTATTTTAACTTAAAAAAAAGAGGTTGGCGGCCTCTTTTAACCTTGCATTTTCCCGTCCACATAGACTAAGCGCCCGTGCGTGGATCGTTACAGCAAAGCAAGGAGTGAGCCGGTACAGTACAAAGGTGAACTGTACTGATAAAATGTTACACTCAGTTACACTAGAACACTCAGTTTGATTGAGTCTTATCTGTGTGGCCGGGAGCAGGTTGTGTTTGCTAGAGGGCAGAGTTCTTGTGCCAAAACATTGTCTCATGGTGTACCGCAGGGCTCAATCCTGGGGCCTCTGCTCTTTTTAATCATGGTCAATGATCTAAGTCATAACACTGACGCAACTGTCATTAGCTACGCAGATGACACTACTCTTGTATGTACAGGTAAAGATGAAGCCATGCTAACAGGGGATATGTCACGTTCTTTGGAACAATCAGCTATCTGGTTCCGTGCAAACTATCTCTTTTTAAATAATGCCAAAACTCAAAGTCTGATTTTTTCTCTAAGGCGGATAGGCGATAGGCCTATCAATGATTCCAATAATGTTAAATTACTTGGCTTAACCCTAGATAATAAGTTGTTATGGGATGATCAAGTTGCAGTGACATGCAGCAAATTATCAAGAGTTGTACATTTATTAAGAAATTTGAAGGTAAATGTTCCCAAACAATACTTAAAAGTAGCCTATGTTGCATTTTTTCAAAGTATAATGTTATACGGCCTAAGCCTATGGGGCAGTGCAACTGATGTTAAAAGTATCTTAACTGTTCAAAAGAAGGCAATTAGGTTTTTTTTTTTTTTTTTTTTTTTTTTTTTTAATAGAGGGCCAGGCTTACAAGTTACCATGGGATTGCATCGCAGCTAGAACAGCTTATTGTGCACCCTCGTTCACAGGTCCTCATTCTCCGTCAAATCCCAGGTCCTTGGTGAACCGTGAGAGCCTCTTGACTATGGTGACCTGTTCTTCCCTTTGGTCTCCCATCAATAGGCCAAGGGATCTCATACGCAGACCTTGTAGGGCTGGGCACCTAAATATACCTTCACAGCTTTCACAAGGTCTCTGGCTGGGGCAAGCCGTAGCGAGATTTCCCTGAAAGGACTCAGCTCCTGAACTTGCTTGACCAGCCAATCCTTTGTGGCTGCGTCAGCACAGCCTCCACCTTTCTTCCTGGAGGCCTCATTAGAGTCAGCTTTGGGGGTACCACCCTTGACCTGCTTTTTCCCAGCATCCTAGTTCCCGGAGGAACTGGCTTTACAGGCAGCAGAGTTAGGGTGCTTGGCAGCCCACACCAGCCTCCTCTCACTTCTGGATAGCACCTTTTCGCCTTTGGCTAAAGCATCCGCTATCCTCCGTCTTTGCAACTCACCCCTGGAAAGTCGATTTTCGTACGAGGGATCTCATACGCAGACCTTGTAGGGCTGGGCACATAAATATACCTTCACAGCTTTCACAAGGTCTCTGGCTGGGGCAAGCCGTAGCGAGATTTCCCTGAAAGGTCTCAGCTCCTGAACTTGCTTGACCAGCCAATCCTTTGTGGCTGCGTCAGCACAGCCTCCACCTTTCTTCCTGGAGGCTTCATTAGAGTCAGCTTTGGGGGTACCACCCTTGCTCTGCTTTTTCCCAGCATCCTAGTTCCCGGAGGAACTGGCTTTGCAGGCAGCAGAGTTAGGGTGCTTGGCAGCCCACACCAGCCTCCTCTCACTTCTGGATAGCACCTTTTCGCCTTTGGCTAAAGCATCCGCTATCCTCCATCTTTGCAACTCGCCCCTGGAAAGTCGTTTTTCGTTCCTTTCCGGTTTCTGCGAGCTTGTCGTCATCGTCAGATTTCAGTAGACCTTCCTCCTCCATTTGGGTCAGACTGTCTACATTGTTCTCACGAATACCAGGTATTTAAGTCCACCTCCCCAGTGACCCGATTAGAGAGGTAAGGGGTGTGTACGACTGGGTTACCCCTGGTTCCCAGAAGGCTCCGTTAAGACACTGAATATTAGGCCCCCAGTGCCACAAGACTCTTGGCACGGATCGCATTACACCTTAGTCTAGGGCCCCCCTCACTTGGTTCTGTAGGTGGACCAACACCCAGTGGCAGAAGGTAGCTCTCCGCAGCTAACAAGTGAGAGTTGGGGTTTAGGTTGTGGCCAATCTGCCGAACCAACCCCGCATGCGAGGTTTGGCCGGAACGGCGCGAAATTTTCTCCCACTCACTAAACCCCCATACCTTCCAGGCAATTAGGTTAATGGCTGATGCTTCTTATGACGCACATTGCAAACCCTTATTTGTATCTGAGAAACTGATGACTGTTTACAGCTTGTATACTTTTGATATTTTAGTTAAGTTTAAGGAAAATAGTATTGGGAATGTAGTAACTAGAGCCGAGGTGCATGAGCATGACACAAGAAATAAACATCTAATAGATATACCTTATGTTAGACTTAGAAAAACTCAACTCAACTGTGATATCTTAGCAATAAATCTATTTAATGCATTGCCTTATTCAGCACGAAACCTGGAGATCCGCCAGTTTAAGCGGAAACTACAAGAGATGCTATTGGCGCATCCTTTGTATGCTTTAAAAGAATGTTTTGAAATTCCTACAGCTGTTGTAAGTAGATGCTTTTGATTGCTTTTGCTATGCCTGAAGTTTGAAGTAGTTTGTGCATGGTGTGTTTTTTTGAAAGTAGATATGAGTAGTTTGTGCACTATTTATTCACTATTGTAGTTGCCATTATTTAACTATTTATTTATTTATTATATTTGCCTGTTTTTGTGCATGGTGTGATTTAAGCTAAGTCAACCCAGTTTACTAACTGGGACTGTTAGCCTAACTGATTGTTGCCAGATGATTATTATATGACTTGTCTGATTGCATGTAACTGCATGTTTAAAAGACCAAATAAAATTCTCATTCTCATTCTCATTCTCATTCTGTTATCGGCAGTGACCAGGATCCGAACCCACAACATCGCTGCCTTGGGCCCGAAGTCCGCGACGCTACCGACTGAGCCACCGATTCACTAAAACAATATATAGGGCTACAGCGTAATTTCCACGAAAATTTTATTAAGATATTCTAATACAATCCTCTTTGAGAAGTTATGGTGTATTAAATGTTTGATATAATATTTAACCAAAAGTAAAACGTTACATCAATGCACACAAATGCCGGAACAACACGTTTTACAGATTGTCTTCTGTCAATCCATGAAGATGACAAATCCAAAAGATTCTTGGGAAAAATTACAAATACATAAAAAGATTTTAGCAAAAAATACCAAGGCCAAGGTAGTAGTGTTAAATTAAATGATTTAATCACTCTGTTTAATTAATTTAATGAATTAGCATTAACTAAAATAGTAAAGTTGAATCTAACAGAGAGTTACAACAGTCATTAAGTCGTTGTCTGCAGAACTTGTAGAAAAGACAGTTTGACCTAGTTTTGTAGTCAGCAATTACAACTAGCCATTAGGTATTTGCTTCACAATGCAGTAAAATATGACCAGCTAAATGAACAAAGGTATTTAAATAAGTATAATATATAGAATAATCTAATGTTGTAATTTTAATGTTCCAAATTAACTACTTGAAGTCATTCATTAAAAAAATACCAATATAAGAAGTAAAATAAAAACTACTTACTTCGTAATTTTAGTACGTTTTAAATACAAAACTATTTATATACAAAACAGCGTAGAGAAGATATTTCTGCATCGAATGCAGTTAAATCCTCATATTAGGTTTTAAACTTTGCTTTCAGAATCAGAGCCTTATATCCTAACTATTATACCAAATAAAAAAGTTTTAATAGCCTATAGGCTAATCTTTTTTTTTAATTTTCAAAAATAAAATGTATTCAAGAGAGACATTTAAATCATTACTACATAAAACCTAATGCTGAGTAGATACGGCACCAGTCCAATTAAAATTGTAAAAACAAAACCAAAAAGTATCATTATAATACATTTTAAAAAATTGCCGTATTATCATACAATTTCTTTTACACAATGCAGTTTTTTATACGTTTATTTTCAAACAAAATTGACTCAACGAAAAGACCGATGTTGTTTACATAAGTAGATATAATATGATGGTTTTACCTCACTTTCGGCGTTTTAGAGGCACTTTTAGGGCACTTTTTATAGGGGAAAAATGAGAAAAATTAGTGGCTAATTTTTTTGGCCACTTTTTTAAAGACCCAGCTCTCGACCTATACACCTCTATATAAATTTTCTACTTTTTTAATACTAAAAATCACGTCTGGAAATGGTGAGCTTTTTTTGGCCACTTTTTTAAAGACCCAGCTCTCGACCTATACACCCCTATATAAATTTTCTACTTTTTTAATACTAAAAATCACGTCTGGAAATGGTGAGCTTTTTTTGGCCACTTTTTTAAAGACCGGCTATATTTGGATCTCGTCCAATACAAGCCCATACAAATGTTCAAACTCCATTAAAATTTTAAATCCACATTCATTCACAAGTATATTCTCAAAAATCATGTGAGGTTTGCGCGCGAACTCGGGCATGCTTATGGCTATGCGTAAACTATGCCTGACTCAAATGAATGACTGTGAGTGTAACCTAATGACCCCAATCAAAACCAATTGTCAACATTCTCTGCCTGTCTGGCGCCAGTCTGTCTGGGACAGGTTTAGACAATTACCAAATATGTTTGATTGATTGACCTCAATTATTCAATTGTTCAATTTCAGTTTGTTCAATTACCATTGTTAAGTTATTAATTAATTTAGACAATTTTGTGGTATATAAGGAGGGCATTCTACGGTATCATCACTCACTCTTCCACCTGGATCTTCTTGTTTTGGTAAGTCTTTGACATCTAAGCTAGACTATTGTAATATGTTGTCGCGTGTCGGGTCATGGGATCAATTGGTGACGTAATTGATGCTTGTACTCTGTATTTCTTTTAACTTAGGAGTCCATTTGGGATTTCCCGAGTCCATTTTTTAAAACTTAGCCAAATTTACTCACCAGGGGACTTTGAGTCAAAAGTGTGTACAAGTTATTATTTAAAAACTTAGCCAAATTCACTCATGGGGGGACTTTGAGTCAAAAATATATACAAGTTATTTTTTAAAACTTAGCCAAATTCACTCACCGGGGACTTTGAGTCAAAAATATATACAAGTTATTATTTAAAAACTTAGCCTAATTATACTCACTATATAATTTTGTCAAGTCCCTTTTAACATAGGTAACATAGTCTTCTCTATAACTAACACTCACCCTGTATAAATGTA